ACAATTAAATTGAATAAGAAAAACAATTGTATTATGCAGGTAGGAATTTAGAGTTGTTACAAAATCAAATCAGGGAGACCCCTAGCATTGGAGAATTTAACTACTCATACTATTCAAAGAAAACAAAAGATAAATTGTAAACATTACAAGTATCGAGGAGATATTTGTTCTTCGATCGCTCTCGTTCATGAAAATTTCCTTTCACTAAAACCCTTGTTTTCTCCAATCTTTTCTCATGTAATTCTTCTCTTGCCAAAAAAATTACCCTAATTTCTCCTCAAAACTCATTTAAATAGCAAACATTCACTTAGATCGAATGACAATACTCAAAACACCCTCGCAGGCCAACTATTGAGCAAAATAACATCAAATCTTGAAATCAGCGTTGCACCCCAACACATGCCGTGTCAGGAAACACGGGTGCCCGTGTTGGATCTCTAGAAATTTGTCTTTTTATTTTCTGATACAGACCTCGTGACACGGGTCGTGTCAACTGACACAGGCACCTGTGTCAGACCCCTGACTTCCTATTTCCTTTATCTCGTCCTAGCCTTCATCCTAACACGGCCCATGTCAAGTGACACGGGTGACCGTGTCAGGCCTCATATAACATGAATATTTCACTTTCTCCAAAAATATGACTTTTGCGCGCTTTCCTATTAATTTGTCTCGATTTATTCCTCTGAGCCTAAAAACAGAAAAACTCACAACCAAAGCATAAAATATGGATAAATGAAATAGAACGCTTGACAAATAAAGAAAATATAACTAAAATCAATGGTAAATAACTGTGTAAAAACCCTTGGTCAATGCCCATAACACGTTTTTAATAGCAGAGTAGTGAGTTACTTCATTTCAAGTAATTGATTACTTCGCTGATAAAAGCACTTTTCTGCAACTTTTTCAAAATGAAAATCACTTTAAGCCATCCCAAAATCCCATTTTTCTTACAATTCATTTAGCTTATGTTTTAAAACAAAATAATCACTTTTTAAATGTTCCAAACCCCACATATTGTTCACCGAAAACACCTATAACTTAGCTCCGACGCTGACTCGCAGCCACACACAACAACATAACATCCACCATCAACTATTCATTCAAATACATGATTTCAACATCAACATTACATAATTCACCATTCAATCATTAACCATAACATCATTAGACAAAATTATAACATATCTAATTCAACAACAACATACAATTGCGTTATCCACACAATTAATCCAACAATTACAAAATTGCAATCATGATTATATCATTGAGAGAAGAAGAAAAACACAAAATCAATCAATGACATAATCTACCCACTATCACCGTACAAACCCTTAGATAATTAGAATCTCATCCTTACCTTATAGTTCTTACAAAAGCTTCTCAACAATTGTGATCTTCTTTTCCCCTTTGCCCTAGTTATCCTTTCTCTTTTCTCTAAATTTCCGCGATCTCTCTGTTTATATCCCTCAACCTTTCTTTTCTATTTATTTTATATTATTATTATTATTATTATTATTATTATTATTATTATTAATCCCAACTAATTAAAATAATAATAATTATAATAATAACAATTCCAACACTTATTTAATTTAAATAATGCACACCTTAAATAATTTAAATAAATAACTACTAACTAGTGTTACTAATTAATTTAATTAGTCTTACTCACCTCACCACCAAGTTCTACACTTTTACTCACACACCCTCAACACCTAAAATTATATCTTATAAGGCTCCACCATACACCAAAAGGCTCTTTAATACACCAAAGAGCTCTCTAATACACCAAAACACCAATCACACCAAAACACCAAAGGGATCTCTAATACACCAGAGGGCTCTCTAATACACCAAAACACCAATCACACGATAAGATCACCAAATATCACATGATTAAATCACGTAAATAATTTAAATTAAATCGGGCCGTTACGCAGTGACTCTCTCTTAGGGATACATTGAGCTAATGGTCACCTTGGGAGAAGTGATAGACACAAGAATCGTCAATCTTTAATTCCTGGTATTTCCTTTCTGAAGCGTTACAACTATATTATGCGCAGACATTATGTTGCGAATTGGATACAATCGCCTCCTCATTACACCTCAAACTAAAGTACCACAATGTGTATGATAAACCAATGACTATTTAAATTGACCTAGTTTGAGCGCAAAGAATGCATAAGACTTTGCAACGCGACCAGAGTGACAAAGTAAAAAAAACCATGAATATTAATGTAGTCTCCCTCATTTGGAAGCTATGGAAAATGGCTATCTGACTTCCGAAAAAAGGGGGCTAGGGATCATAATGTGTGTGTTAAGGATAACATTAACTTGAGTTTGTAGGAGAAGATTGTCGGTATGGATTGGAATGTTTCCTAAAATACATCATTTCTTAGCATATAAATAAAGAGATTCCCTTTCATTTCAAATCATTCTAGAAAACGTAAAATATCTCACTCTACCTTTTTCTCTCAATCTCTTTAAATTGACTCTCTCTATCTCTCTCTCCCACACACACACACACACACATTTTTAACCATCGTGCATTGAGAGAATTTTTGAGTTTAGGTAGGTAATTATTCAAGGCGAGGACTTTATTGTAAATTTATTAAGAGATTTTTTCCTCTTGAGTAAATCATTCTTCCCTAGGAAGTAGTTATTTTTATTGGAGTTAAACCAGTCTAAAAGCTCTTTTGGAGATTATTATAAGTCTATGTTTGGTTTGTGTGCTTCGCCATTAAAAAAATCCCTCTTTTGGGTTCATGAAGAATAACCTCTGAAAAATCTTCACAATAGTTCTCAAGCCCAACTCAGTTAAAAGCTATATCAATTTGAGATTAGCCTGGTATAAAATCTCACTCAATTTTTGAGTTCAACATGTGTAAAAGCTCAAGAGGTTCAAGATTATCCCGATAAAAATCTCAATTTAGTTCATGGACAGTTCGTGTAAAACTTCGATTTGATTAAAAAGATTGCCAACTCAAAACTCCAACTTTGTTCGAGAGAAATCTGTGCAAAGTCTCAGTTTGTCTTAAAGACTAACTGCTCAAAGTTGTTCTCGTTGGTTGGAGTGAGATAACCACTTAATTTCCCTGTCCGCAGTTTGATTGGAAATTAACTTGGAACTTCATTTTTCTTGTATAAGGGGGTTCACGGGCTTAACATTCTAAAAGCACTCAAGCATTATTAAAAACTCTTAAAATTAGTTTGCAGGGAGATGGGTAAGTAATTTATTTAAGACCAAACCTCTATAAATCTTTGGTGTTTGTTATCTCTCATCCCTTAACTATTCTATTTTCCTCTTAATTTATTTTCCGCTGCTCACTCAAATGTTTTTAGCAAAATGTTTTTGAAATTTGTTTTAGAAAATGATTTTATTTTAAGCTATCATTTTCAAACCTACACAATTCATCCCTTCTTGTGTATGTAATCACATGTCCAACAATATTTATTACATATCCTCTTATATTTGTCCGGAATATGCCCCAAATCATACGAAGACTCCACTGTGGTAAAGGCATGGTCTTAGTGATCTACCTGATCCACCTAAATATCTCCATTTTCTTTCCGAGTCATGGTTGATGTGATCTCCATAACGAACGACTATGTCAAAAGGAGAAACAAAGTGAAATAGGTAATTTAAAAGAGGCTCAAACCAAAGGTCAACACTCTTGTTGAAGCGCACCAACAACTAAAGAAGTTCATCAAAGACAAATCAGAAGTATAAAAAACTCTTGCATCATCTCAACTGCATATCACCATCTAGTAAAATCGTCATAAAAAAGATTTCACCCACCAGATCTCACAACCTATGTTCCTAAAAACCCTAACAAAGGAAGCGACAATAGAGAACAATAAATACAAACATTACCTTAGAAAGAAGCAAAATCGAAGATTTATGCGCCTCAGAACTGGTGCAAATGAGTATGAAGATCTACGTAAAAGCTAGTAATAATAGAAGAGGAAGAAAAGTCCATAATTTCACATGTGACGAAAGAAGAGACATTGAAAAATTGAAGGGTTCTTATGAATATCCACACTAATACAATCCTCATGTTATCCTATGTCTAGAAGTGAGAAATACTCTACCAACTATTCATATCTCCTCGAAAATTGATCAGATAGTTTAATTGTGCTAGTACAAGAGGGAAACCAGTTATGACAAACTAGGTACATGTGTTGATAGCTATATGAGCAACAACACCCATTCACTAGGAAAACATTCATTGCACATGTTCTCAATGCTAGTAAATGTCTTGTTAAAACTCTTCACCTACTAATGCCGACATACAATCTAAAACCGTACACAATAAAACCCTTATCTTACAACGCACAGTCAAAGGTTCGAGGGGAAATTGTTACATGCTGCTCACATAGTCTAAGGCAAAAGGCCCAAATGCAACACAAAGGAAACAAGCACGAAGAACATTTGTTCCCCCATTTCCACCTAAGGCAGGCAACTCCGCCCTCAAATGCGTCATCTATCGTTCAAATTAATCAAACGAGTGTACATGTCACACTCCTCACAAATGATTTCAACCACTTTCATTATAAAAAAAGTCTGCCATTCTCAAGTATTCAAATCCATCTTATTTTAATATCTTTTTTCATTCTTTCGCTGACTCGTGTTGAAGTGCTAACTTTATTAATATACCTACATAATTGCATCGGAGATCTGCACTACCTACCATATCTACCTTATTAGTTCGTAACACATCAGTGTATATTTATGATACTCATTTTGTATTATCTATTTATTACAATTTTCTAATAATAATTTCAACTTAAAAATCATTGAATATCAAAATTAATTTCTTAATCATATGTAAACATACTATTTGGAAGTTAAATAAAGAAAAGTTGTAAAAAAGCTAAATGAAAATAACAAGCGGGAAAAATATTACTAGTATAATTTTCATATTTGATGAATCAATCTTCTTTCTTTATGAACTAATCTAAAAGCTAAAACCCTACTCTTCTCAATTCTAAACTCTACAATGGCTTCCTTCCCTCCTCCTGGTTCACTCACCCTCTGCGAACTCAACCGCGACCTAAGTATCACTACTACACCCCCTCTCTCTATCTATCATTTTCTCTCTCTTCATTCTCTTCTCTAACTCTCAATTTCTCTGCAGTCACCGTCGACGCACTCTCCGACGGTCGAGCCGATCAAACCTACGGAAAGCATCTCGTAACCAACCGCATCATCTCAATTCTATTTAATCCTATTTATTTTCAATTTTTATTAATTTTTTTATTCGTTAATTAGGGATTCGTGTTCAGCCCCGTGCCGTTTCAGCCTCCGCCACCGCCTCTCGAGAACGATGTTCCCGAACAGGAACCAACCACCACCGCCGCCGTAACCGTTCCTAGAAAAGGTCCTCTGGCACTTTTGCAAGGCCTTGTAAACGAGTGTCTCAGACGCCTCGTTTACCCCAACGATGTATGATTAATTGATCTAATTGCTTGCATTGTGCTTTGTTTTAAATTAATCACACGCGTTTGTTTGCAATAATTTGCTAATTTTAGAATTATTTGTTATGTAAATGTAAATTTATTGCTTATGTTTAGGTGCATTTGTTGCCTGAGGTTAATCTTCAAGGAGTGAGTTGGCACCTTAATAGACATATAATTTCTTTTATTTCTGGGCCTAACCAAGTATTAGTTCGCGATTATGAAGATCCAGGTACTTAACTTGTTCTGGTAACGAGAATCGATATATTTTATTAGCTTATTGTTTAAGTTAAGCTAATAAGAGTGTACTAATTGTTTTCTCACTGTTATTGTTGTGTTATGGATAGTGTTTGTTTTGTTGTAAGCACTTTTAGTTTTACATTTTTAATAGATGGGAAGGATTCAATTATTTTGACCAACGAGTCTCAGAGAGATGTTAAAGTGCTAGAGTGGAGACCGAATGGTGGGAGGATGCTGGCTGTGGGTTGCAAGTGAGGTTCTGTCTTTGTGCATGATTGTTGTGGTATGTACAGTGGCAATTGCCTAGTCATACTGCTTTTTGTTTACTGGACTTGGGTTTACTGATGTAGGAGTGGAATTTGCATATGGTCTGCTTCATATCCCGGAAACACAGCATCTGCTAGATCTGGCACTATATCCTTTGTAGGAAGTTTATCGAGAGGCTCTGGAATTCGGTATCTCCTGGTTGATTTTCTTCGAAGTCAGAATGGTGAACATGTTAGCGCCCTTACTTGGAGTCCGGATGGAAGATATCCTTTTAAATGTCAAAATCTTTTTTATTTTACCTTTTATTTGTCAAATATGGATATAACCTATGACACCTACACATTATTTCTTTTTGCAAGAGATGTTTGTGTATGATGGTACATTTTTCTACACAGTATGCATATCCAGAAAGTATTAACTATGGGTTAGACTTGTTAGTTTGAGGCACAAGTTTTTTCTTTTTAAATTACTTAAACTTAACCATTTTTTCTTAACTTATTTTCACATACTTAGCTTCTGCTTCATACGAGAGCTCTTCTTTCACTGTGTGGGATGTTGCTCAAGGTACATCGTAGATCTTGCTTCCTTAAGCAGTTTGATTTTTTTTTTTTATAGTTTTAATGATCCCTTTCTTTCCACTAATGATATAAATATGTTCTGAATAAGCTTAAAACTCGTTCTGATTTTTTTTAAAACTAATTTGTTCACCTCACTATAAAAAGATACTAAGTGTACCCTAAGCTGTATATGTTTACAACCTAGACTGATGATTTAAACAGCACATCAGTATACTGAATATATGACTTGATGGAGCTGACTTTTGCTTTGAGTTTGGAGAAATAAATCCTTAATTACTTATATTTGATTGAATTGCGTACTAGTGGCGTAATATCTACCAGTCACTTCCTATGGGCTCAGAACTTATTTTATTTTTCTTGGAATTCCAGTAAAGCAAAAATGTGTAATGTTTCTTTATGTGTTTTGTCATAATAGTCACACAGTGACACAATGGGTGAATTTATACTGTCAAAATAAAGTGAGGACGTTGTTTATATTTTAACTAAATTATGATTAGTTATTAAAAGAACTGGATTACTAGTCTTGGCATATTCCATTTTAGTGCTCTTATAAAGTTTACTACTGGATTGGAATATTTTATTTTGTGAATTTGAGTGTTATGCAAACAAAATTATAGATTTGAACTTTTAATATTAATATAATAAATTGATTAGTTGATCAAAGTTATTACCGATCAAAGTTAACAATGAAGGTTGGCTTAATTGGTAAGATTGCATTCTGTCTGCTAAGTGGTCTTCAATTATTTCCAGTAGTCATCCATTGATAGGCCGTACCTAAATTTAAGTATCAATGTAAGCCCTTGTTGAGACATATGGCATGTCTTACCTTCATAGGAATAATCTCCTTTTCTTTTGAACATTCCTGTACAAAAAAAGAATCAAATTTCTGTTGCCCTATTTATGTTAAGTTGATAAATGTGTTATGCTGACTCTTTAATTTTAAGAGTTTAAAGAAGGGAGGGTGATGAGTCCGATGACTGTTTCTATATTTACATTTTGAGTAATGATATTTGTCTCCGCTTTCTGAATATTTGATTTTTTTTATGTTATCTGTAGGTGTGGGGACACCTATTCGACGAGGATTAGGAGGCATATCAATGCTAAAGTGGTCACCCACTGGAGATTACTTCTTTGCTTCAAAATTGTAACGCAACATGCTTAGTTTTGCTTACGGAAATACTAAGTGTTTATTGAACATGAACTGCTTATGATTCATAATTCACGACCTTATTGTTACACTCTCTTACAGTGATGGAACATTTTATCTTTGGGAAACAAACACTTGGACATCAGAACAATGGTCATCAACTAGTAGTGGTTTTGTCAAGGTATGTAATGTATACATTCTTGTTTTGGTGCCCTACGGTTACATATTGACTTTGAGACAACATCTGTTGTAAACTTTGCATGTGTATTTTGGATTTGTTTTTGTAAGGGATAACAAACTAGACTCATTTCGTGGTGAAACCAGGAGTTAATTAGGTTATATATTTTGTGAGTGTAATAAGAAGATACAATGACTGAAGAGTTTAACATTTTAGTAGAATAATACAGTCATAATCTGAAGCAATTGCAGTGATTTGTAAATTTTTTTGTCTGATGGCTGACATAATGTTAATACTTAAATAATTTCTACTCGCAATGATGTGTGCTCAGTGTGCAACATGGGATCCAGATGGGCGTATGGTACTGCTTGCATTTTCCAAATCATCAACTTTGGGATCTGTTCATTTTGCATCGAAGCCTCCCTCGTTAGGTATTGATCCTTTTCTTTCAAGGATCTTATGTTGATTTGTTTACTGTTTCCGTAACTAGCTATACTAATCAGTAATCTATACTTATATATCTATATCCATACTTATCTATACGTATACATAAAGGAAATGGTAAGTTTGGGTGTAGTTTTTCTTCTTCCAATTTTACTCTTTATTTGTATTATTTAATTTATAATTTTGTCCTTTTTTATCCAATCCAACAACTGATTTTTTAATCTACAACTATATAAAGGGATACCAAATTGTTTTAGTTTTTATTCTTCCGATTTTATCATTCAATTAAACAATATATTTTACATTTTATCCAATTAAATCATAAAAAATCTAAATAACAACATAAAAATTTGTAATTTCCATTATTTTTGACAATATAATTGATAGACTGAGAAAAACAGGCATGGCTGTGTGCTAGTACTCAATAAACAGAAACATGTCATATTCAAATATATGGATGAGACAATAAAGGAAAAGGAGTGGAAGAGGGATCAATACTGAAAATATTTTTATCGTAAACAATGATTCTGAAAAGGCTGACAACAATAATCTTACAGATGGTACCACTTTTTTTTCTTTCTTCCCATGATGAAAATTTTGTAATTTGAATGGGAAGGCAAAAGAAATAAGAGACATCTTACAGATGGTACCACTTTTTTTCTCTCTTCCCATGATGAAAATTTTGTAATTTGAATGGGAAGGCAAAAGAAATAAGAGACGGAATATATATCCTTAATAAAGTGAATGACTGATATATTTCCCTAATAAAGTGAATGACTGAAGTATATTTCTCTAATACCATAAATTCAAGTGATGTCTTTGAAAACACATGTCCTCTAGGCTGAGTGCAAGCTACAAGTAATGTCTTGACTAAAAACTTTTGCAAAACACATACAGATTTCTCAACAGATACCTTTTGCTAATTGGATTGAATCAGTAGATGGTTGATATAAGATGTGGTTTTGTAATAAAAGTTGTGTCTGTCAGCGTCTAGTGTTAGACTTAGGAACGAAAGCACGGTAAAAATATCAGCTCTTTTGCGATACGGAACTGTTTAACCAGCTCATGGTCTACATGTAAAAGGGCCCATTCAGGAGTTTGCACATAATCACGTCCTGTCCTGCTAGCCAAACAGAAGCACACAATGTTTTTATAGCTATTCTTGAGTGTTTGAAGTCCATGTTCTACCCACAATTCTTGCCTGTCTCATTGTAAGTGTACATTGATTTATAGTTACTCATTTTTTTTTTCAGACACACATCTGTTACCTGTTGAGTTGCCAGAGATATTATCATTGACAGGCAGGTAGATATGAGTTAATTTTTTGGGTTCAATAATTTTTTGAATTGCTGTGATTTGGTCTTAAGGTCTTATCATTTTACAAATTTCGTACTAACCAATTCTTAGGATGTGGTAACTGACTGTTGCATTTTGCATTATCAGTTATTTTAGTATTCAGCCCTTTCTCCTCCTGTTCTATCATAATGTATTTTAGTTCGGGTGATGCTTGAGTTTTGGGTTGCTGATATTCTTAGCTTTGGATTTCTTAGGTGAAGTTTTCTTTACGTGTTTTCTTGTTCTTATTTGTACTAAAAACAAGAATGACAATGTGTTTAGCTCAATGTAGATTTTTTATTTTGTAAAATTTGGCCAAGTCTGAAGATGCCATTAATTTTTTCATCATTTCCTTTTCTAAATTTCAGAACCAGGACATTGCAAGTTTAAATGCAGCGCCAGCTTTCTAAATTAGTTAAAAATCAGCCATATTTTTGAAATAAAATGTATAATTTCCTCAAACTAGACATTTCCATTTTCTTTTCTTCCATATTTTTTGTTCTTAAGAGAGTGAAACTTTGATTCTTTACCCGGATCAATTGACCTTGTTCTTATAGAGTATAATTTCAAATTTCAATCTTGGAATATCACTGATGTATCCCCTGATAGTGCATCCCTCAGTCTTACAGATGAGTTCTTGAATGCTCTTGTGTGATGGACTAGAGTTTACACATGCTCTGTAGTCACATAGATGTGGTTAAATTTTTGTTTCCGCAAATTAAGGTTTTTGTTGTGTTAAATTTTTTGCCTAGGTTTTTTGTCTTCCTTTTCCTATATCATATAGTTATCATGATTTTTGTTCGAAACTACATGTTTATTTGTTATCTAATGTCATTTTATTCAGTCAGGGAATTGAAAAAATAGAATGGGATAATTCAGGGGAGAGATTGGCTGTGTCTTTTAAAGGTGGGGATGACGTATATGGGGGGCTAATCGCCATCTATGATACAAGAAGAACTCCTCTGATATCTACATCATTAATGTGAGTTTTTAGTTGAAAATGATCCAATCACCATTGTTGTTTTATGCCATCTCTTTTCAATTAATTCAATGTCAAAGTTATGTGTCTTAAATATTCTTTGCTTTGTCAATTACTATTTAACATACTGGTCATTTGCAATAATTTGTCTTTAAATATGTTTTAGTGGATTTATAAGAGGACCAGGAGAAAATCCAAAGCCGATCTCATTTTCATTTCATGGGAAGTTTAAGCAGGGGCCATTGCTCTCTGTGGTAAGTCTGTCTTGAGTTTCACTTGTTCTGCTTTTTTTCCCTTCTGAAACCATATTTTCCTTAACAAATTATATGCAACTATATGAGGTGCATATGTATTCATAGACAGTGCCCGGTTCCAACGACACGCTTCTTAGATGCTTAATTTTGTTTTTTTAAGGAAGATGCTTCATCTGGTTATTGGTTCATATCTCACTTCGAAGCTTTTCACATATCTCTACTTTTTGTTCTGCAGTGTTGGAGCAGTGGATTCTGTTGCACTTACCCTCTCTTGTTCCGTTCTCATATGCTTACATAAGGAGGATTTCTGCGAAATTTTGTTGGCTGGGCACAATTTGGAGCGAGCTAACTTTGATGATAGCATCATATGTTCAATGTTTTGAAATTCAAATATTGTTTGGGGTCAAATTGCTTATCTTGTGTGTATTTGAAAAGATGTCCTATCAAAGTAATCATTTTTGTGAATTATGATTTTTTTGGTAGAAGGGATATGCAATAAACAAATATGAGATATACCAATCTTTACCAAAGTTTGTTTCTATCACTTGATAGTTGATTCGCCTCACAAAGAATTTCAGAGACGTGGCTCGCACTAACAAATTTTTTATATCATTCACCAAAACGTGATAAAGATGAGATAAATAACGCTTTCTTTCAAGTTGCCATGAGTTGCCCTCTGCAAGAGCTTGGCACTACAAACTAGAAGAATCTACGCAAAGAAGAAGATCGGAAAGACATGAGCATAAAAAAGTCAAAGGAAGGAAAGAGATCATTGCACTAACCTTGCCTAATACACTCCAACAGCAAGGTTCTTTATCCAAACCGTTGCTAGCTATGTTCTTTATCAAAGGTAGACACTACAAGGTGGAATATGAAGGTTCGGCCACTATACGGAGTGGTGCATGGATAAGTAGTCAATGAAGATTGTAGATGTTGTAGAAGGAAAAAACAAATGTGGCATGAATGGTGAAGAACCGTTGTCTAAAGCAGGACCATGGACGGTGGCGCAAAAAAAAAAAAAAAAAAAATTAGGAAAAACAACACAGATCCAAATCATGGTGGAAGAACAATGAGAGGAAACAATGGACAGATAATTAACGGGGAAATTAATGTCAATATGCTGGTGAAAGGAAATTCTTAGATAGACATAAACACAAGAAATAGTTTTTCACACATCAATCACAAATTTTTAATTAATTAAAAAATAAATATAAAATTGTCTCTCCTTCGTTATCACAACCACCCCATCTCATGAATCTAATTAAAAAAGAAATTGAAACTTAAATAAAAGCAGACTCTAGAGCATTTACTTGGAACCCTCTATGTTGAATCTGACATCCCGAATATTTTGATAATTTCCAAAATGTTATGGACAAATTTGAGATAAAAAGTGCGAAGAAATTTTCATAGTTCATTTAAAATTTCTGCAACAAATTTTTTTGTAGTTCATTTAAAATAGTCGATAACATACTGTGATCGGTGGAAATAGAACTGACTGTTTTGAAATGCTGGTTCGCGAAATGTCGCGGTAAGCAAAAGTCGCCACCGTCTTTTATTTTCCCCAACAAGGAAAGGACAAAAGCACAACAAAATTCCTTTTCGAGATGTTTCTCGGGTTCGGGAGGTAGATTATAGAAAGGGAAGGTGTTAGCACCCTTTCTATCCGTGGTTATCCACGGACTCTTAGGTACTTGCTCACTATGTTTTCAAAAAGTTTTGCTTTTCTTGTGTTTGTGGGTTTTTGAAAAAAAGTTTTGTTTGAAAACTCCGATTTAACTCTTGTATCTGTCCTCAAGAGTGTATGAAGTGTTTGTTTGAAAACTTTGTTTGAAAAGTGTAAGTGCGAAAAGTTATTTCGTTTTGAAAGAGCAAGTACCTGAGAACCTCTACCTACTCAAAAGAAATTAAGCTGTGTAAGTGTCCTTTAGACAGTACTATCCCACTATTGAGAAGTAGGTAGCACCGTCGTTGGAGTTTCAGGTCAATTCGATTATAGGGACATGTGGTCACTATAGCAATGGTAGGACGCCTTAGCGGTAATCCTAATGTCTTAGATCGTTTTATCCGAGGCAACCGTTTCGAGGCAACTTTGATCTTTGGACAGGAGGGCGACCTCTAAAACACCCTATACTCAATGACCACGTCGAGGCAACCAAGTGAGGCGTACCCTAGGAGTGGCATGTGCAAGTGTGTCAATTTTCAGTTATGTTATCTTTACATGTCATGGCGAGCTATGTTGATTTTAAGTTCATACATTTGATCTTGTCATGCATTCCCTATTTATCAAACATCTAACCGTTAATAGTTGCGGAATTTAAATTGTGGAAATTAAATCTAAACTATTACAAGGCGTCGGGTATTTACATCGCCAAAAACAACCCTTGAAATTAAAATGCGGAAAGTAAAATAAAGCGATAAATAATTAAAGTCCTAATTAAAAGCTATTACATTCCGGGAAACAGATACAATAATATGATAAAATGGATCGCGTACGGGAAATTAAATCGGATGTGAGTTTTTTGGGTTTTGACCCTTTTTTATTAAAGAAAGGATTTTTGTTTATTTTTGAATTAAATGGAATTAAATTAAATGAACAATTAAATTAAATTAAATAATGAAAATATTTTTGGATTCTTGAGTTTTTAAAGAAATAAAATAAATTGAATTAATGCTAATAAAAACCTAATATTCTAAATTGATTTTAAATATTGCAAAAAATATTAAAAGTTAAATCTAATTAAAGCTAAATTGATTAAATTAATTTATTTACAAAAATAAAAGTGATGAAGTTAATTTTAATAAATAAAATATTTTTTGTGTTTTTGATTTTATTAGGAAAAAATGTTAATTGGTTAGTGATTAATAAAAAGAATAACGATTAATTAATTAAAGGAAAATAATAAAAATAGAGAGAGAGTTTAGGAGTATACGAGCCTGATTGGAGGGGTGAAACAACTATTGACGTCATGTGTAAACTGTTTTGTTTTGGCCATTTGTGTTTTGGCTTTTGGCCATTTATGTTCTGGCTTTTGGCCATTTGTGTTCTGGCCTCAACGTTCCTTAACCTTCTCAAGATGTCTGTCTCGCCATGTATTGGTGTCATGTGTAAACTGTTCTGTTTTGGCCATTTATGTTTTGGCTTTTGGCCATTTGTGTTCTGGCCTCAACGTTCCTTAACCTTCTCAGGATGTCTGTCTCGCCATGTATTGGTGTCATGCGTAAACTGTTCTGTTTTGGCCATTTATGTTTTGGCTTTTGGCCATTTGTGTTTTGGCCTCAACGTTCCTTAATGAACCTGCATGGGATCCTGTCTAAATCTGCAGTGTTGAATCTCATGAACACATTAAATAAATTACTATATATCATAAAATACAAATAAAGCCAATATATGAAGAAATGTAATGTTTAGGTCAATATGACATGTATGAATGATTATACCCTTTTGATCATGGAGATCAAATCAACCTTACTCTTACTGAAAAAGTAGTGACATGAATGTTTTTATGCCCTTTTGATCATGGAGATCAAGTCAGCCTTACCCTTACTGAAGAAGTAGTGAGATGTTGGTTTGTAATTGAGATGACTTGTTTGTAGTGAGATGTTGGTTTGTAACTGGGATGGCTTGTTTGTAGTGAGAGAGAAATTTGTAATAAGGATTTCAAGGTTTTAGGGTTCTTGAAAGAATTTGATATTCTGACAGTGTTGTGGCAAGGTTTTTTTTCCTCTGGTTTGTGTGAAAAGAATGTGATTATATAATGGAAATTAGGGTAAAGAAAATGGGCTTTGAATGTGCAATTGGACCTCCAATGTTCACTTGAGTTCGTCACTTTCTAGGCTAAATCGCAGGGACTTAAGTGCAATTTTTGAAGTTGAAATGTGAAAATAAAATGTAGCCGACATCGAGAACTAACTCCTGTCTGAAAATCGGCTCAATCGGATAAACGGTGAATTAGTTATGAATTTTTGAAGTTTCAGCTCAGACAAACTTATTTTGGGCTCCAGTGTCGACTCTGACACATTCTTCAATAAAAAACTGGTATCGATCGGAGCATAATTCGGTCTCGACTTTTGAATAAAAGTTGTAGATATTTGAGTCAGTGACCTTGTGTAAAAATATGAGCCCAATCCGATAAAAATTGACCGAGTTATGAATTTTCGAAGTTTCGGCACAGATGAAATAATATTCAGCATTCAGGATTTTCGGCGCGTCACACACTCTCAGCAAAAAACGAAGTCCTTTTGAATGCCTTTTGAACTCAATACCTTCTGTGAAAATGTAGCCAACTCAATTTGTGAAATTTTGGCGCCGGAACCAGCTCGATACGATGAAAATCGACCAAGTTATGATTTTCTGAATATGACGCAAATAAACTTCTGTCACAAATTTTTTGTACGAAAATACTTGATAAATCCACATTTTTGAAGACTTTCTGATTGAAATTGGCTTCCAGCCGTGAGAGATGAAAACATAGAAGACGTCAATATGGAATTTTGGCCACCAGAACGGGTTCAAAACGAGCCACGATCTTCAAGTTATGAATTTTTTAGCGCGTAAGAACTGCACTTTCAGCACACTTTTTTCACCATATTTCTTCGAGAAAACTCACACAGTCGGATACCTTCTGAATTTGAGCATACGTTAGGACATTAAGGAGCACTTGAGGTCATTTGGATGTAAGGATATTGATGCAACACAAAACCCTAATTTTGAATTGACTGCCTTAGGAGATGATTTGACTGTCCAACTCTTGAGCCATCTTGAACAACTTGGAGATGATTCTTGACATGTCTTAAGAAATATGGGAGGGCAAATTTTGGGGTACAACAGTTGCCCCTGTTCAATTTTCTTAAACCTGAGGATATGGATTGGCTTTCGTGCCTTTCGTGATCCGAAGGTGGAAGATGATTGAACACTAAAGTGTCCAGAAATTTGCACTCGCATGGTGTAGTATCAGCAATGTGATGTCGGGAATGAGCTTACAGATGCCATTTGGAGAGATGATGGATAGGAGGATGGGCTTATAGATGCCACTTGGAGATTGTTGGTAGTTTTGTCTTCATTGACAGGTTATCTTCATTGACGGGTGTTGTCTCTATTGACGGGTGTTGTCTCTATTGACGGGTTGTCTCTATTGACGGGTTATCATCAGAAAAATCTTTAGGAATCGATTTAACTGGTCTTGTCTCCATTGACTGGCCGAGCATCAGAAACATGAGTGACAGAATGACATCCGAATCTGGATCGTATCTGGACTTTATTTGAGAGAGTGACATAATGACATCCAAATCTGGATCGTA